TTTTACGAGTTTTCAAATTTGAAAAAAAAAACAACTGAATTAAATAACAAGGAAGGTAAATAATATACAGAAAATTTTATACATGGGAAAATTGAAATCGCAAAACAAAAAAGGTGTAATGATCTTTTAGAAGGGTAAACACCAACTCAATTTAATTTTAATTTTATATACTCAATAACTAATGTACGTATGTTTGTACATTTGCACATATGTTGAGTGGAAATAAAAATTAAATAGCATTAGTAACAAATTTACAATTAAAATTTTATTTAATTAATTATCAATTATTTTTTATTATAAACCGAATGATTAGCGAAGCGACTTTATTAATTAAAACCTTAAATTAAGTGCCTTCCACTTTAAATTAGTGTATTCCTGCCTTTCAGACAGGCACGAATTCGTTTTCAAACAGATTGGTTACCTTCTTGAAATCTTATTCAGGGCCCCGCTTTAAAATAAATTACTTCTCTTATGGGCGAACAGATTGGTCCCTCTGTTAAAATCTTGTGCGGAACCCCACTTTAAAACAAAAATAAGTAATTTCTCTTATGGATAAACAGATGGGTTTCTTGTTGAAATCATAAGCAAGGTCTTGCTTTGAAATCTCAAGCATGGGACCGCATTTCGATCGCACTTCTTAAACCATTTTTTAATTAAAGAATTTTAAATTTAGAATTTTTTGTTCTTAAATAAATGAACATAAGAAAATAAAATAACCACGTGTAATGACCATGTACATATGTACATGGGTATATTTTGCGGAGTGGCCTTTTTTTTTGGTCATACTTCTGGATATCAAAACAATTTAAAAATAATGTTTGATTTTGAAAGGTCAAAATTGTAACATAATTTTTTTTTGATAAAACTAATAAACAAAATGTCAAAAATGTCAGAAAAAATCAACAAAAATTAAAACAAAAAAAATAAAAACAAATTCGACATCACCCGCACGTGTCATATTTTGGTTTAACTTAAAACCGTTGACCGTCTTCTTTATTATACCCGTACGAACGTATGTTCGAAGGGTATACTAAATTTGCCTTACCGTTTGTAACGCTAAGAAATAACGGTGTTAGATATAGACTCAAGTGTATGTTTTTGATCAGCGTCAAATTCTGAGTTGATTTAGCTTTGTCTGTCCGTCCGTCCGTCCGTCCGTCCGTCCGTCCGTCCGTCCGTCCGTCCGTCCGTCCGTCCGTCCGTCCGTCCGTCCGAACGATAACTCAAAAACTAATTGAGCTAAGTTCACCAAATTTTCACAAATGATTTATTGTAGTAAGTGCCAGAACCCTATTTAAATTGGACATGATCGGGGTACCGGTTCGGGTAGCTGCCATACAACTTCAAAATTTATTTGGCTATATCTCAGAAACTATAAAAGTTATGGTATTGAAATTTTACACAAACGAATATATTAGTAGGGCCAATATGCCCCATAAAAGTCGTTGAAATTACTTGGCTCCTTCTGGTACCTGCCATACAACTTCAAAAGTTATTTGGCTATATCTCAGAAACTATAAAAGCTGTGATGTTGAGATTTCACACAAGTAAATATATTAGCAGGGCCGATGTGTCTGGTAAAAGTCGTTGAAATTACTTGGCTCCTTCTGGTACCTGCCATACAGCTTCAAAAGTTGTTTGACTATATTTCAGAAACTATTAAAGCTATGGTATTGAAATTTCACACAAACGAATATATTAGTAGGGCCAATGTGTCTCATAAAAGTCGTTGAAATTACTTGGCTTCTTCTGGTACCTGCCATACAACTTCAAAAGTTATTTGACTATATCTCAGAAACTATAAAAGCTGTGATATTGAGATTTCACACAAGTAAGTATATTAGTAGGGCCGATGTGCTTGATAAAATTCGCTAAAATTTCTTGGCTCTTTCTGGTAACTGCCAAACAACATCAATAGTAGTTTGGCACAACCAGTATTTTGAATAACACATAGTACTGAAATTTTGCATAAATTAATATGGTAATACGGCAACTTAAAGTCATAGTCTGCCCCATAGTTAGTTATGGCACATTAGTTATTCGCACATAGGATAACAAATTCGTACGGGTATCTCAGAGTTGACAAGGTCAACTCTATTTTTTTCTCGTTTTTATTTGTTTTTTTTTTTTGCTTCTCATTTTTCAACATTTTGATGTAGCGGCAAAATCAACATTGTCAACATGAAAATAAACAAAACTCTTAAGATATTTTCGGGGTGTTCATTACAGTCAAAACAAATTAATAACGTTTCAAGTTTATTTTTGATACAATTTTGTTTGAAATTTTTTCGGTTGTTTGGACGAATATTTTTTTAAGCACAAATATTTCAGCCCAAGTTTTTTGTTGTTAACTACAATGGAAAAATATCGTACATACTTTCTAATATTTTATTGTTTTGATCTTTAAACACACGCTATACAGTACTTTCAAAATTGACTGTGGTACATTTAAGGATATCATTTTGACATTTCCATATACTTATATACACAGGCAACACACTCAACTACGCACTTATATAAATTAATACAATTTAGTTATGGAACAGAATGTAAGATCAACATGTGCTCATTAATAGTTTTACATACAATAATACGTACATATAAGGTTTATGTGGTATTCGAATATTTTGTATCGCATATTAAGGGTGCTTAAGTTATTATTATTTACACAACAACAACTTACAAACATGTTCTTTTATTATTATTATTATATATGAGATTTTTTCATATTTTATAATACTTTGTTTCCAAATTCAATTATAAGCGTATATATAAAATATGAGATTAGAACCGCCCATTTGGTATATTCTATTAATTTTTAATGACTGGCGCTTAAACAAAACCAAACCAAAAAAAAAATATATATGTAAATAGTACTTCAACTCTTAGCTGGGGGTAAATGTACTTATTGAACTCAAGTAATTTTATATGTGCGTATTAAAATAAATAGTGTACTAATGTGTGTATGTTTATAGGTATCAAATATTTACTAAATCAAAACAACATTAAAAACAAGTAAAAATAAATGAAATGTTGTTGTTGACAAATAAGTTGTCAGCAATTTATTTTAAGATCATTATTTTTGACACCCAATTATAAAATTATTTTTCTTTTTTTATTATTTTTATTTGAGTTTGACCAAAAAAAAATTCGGTGGATATAGGCTTTTTGAATAAACACATGTATGTAATTTTCAGAAATTTAGTTCTAATATTCTTGTAGTTTCTAATTAAATAATATTGATACATGAGATATAAGTGTTTCAAATATGTGTGCTTAAATACAGTCATTAATTGACATTTTAATATACGCCTATCAGACATTTATAAAAGTATAATATTAAGTAATAAGTATTTTAATTGACAGGTTACCACAAAAGAAAAATATCAAATGTTTGAAATGGGTTGAAATTGTAATAGGAAATTCGAATTAAAAAAAGAATAATAATAATTTCGTAAAATACTTAATTAATATTAATGTAATTTTATTAATATTTTTATTATCAAATATTAAAATCTTATTAAAATTGAGGCTTTAGCATGAAAATATAATAATAATATTATACACACTTATAATAAAAATTTTTCTTGTATAGATTGTAGTTAAAGGATATTTTAAGGAGGAAGAATTCTGAAAACTTACGAACAGTATAAAACGTAATTCAAATATCTACCTCATATAATTATATTATCATTTTACATACAATTGAATATCCTTATATAATTTTATTATCATGTATATAGAATTGATTATAAAACGAATTTTATGCCAGAATACCATTAATACCGTTACATTTAGTGCACTATTTAATATACAATAATTCTAATTTTTATACTCATACATTACACAATGATATCAAAATTTATTATTTTTCTATACATTTTTTATTATCAATTTTTAATATGAATTATTGTAGCTAACAATATTGACCAACTATTGTAGTTCAATTTAAAATTTCATAGATATAATAATTTCCCTATATTATATTTTTATTGCATACATACTTTAATAACGATTCTGAAAATCCAAGAGAGTGCGCTCAACGACTTTTAAAAAATCGGAAAAATCGCATTAAATATTTATGCTTAATTAACACAGTACAATAAACTTAATGAAACCCATATTTAAACAAATTGCATTTTTCTGAAATCAATGAAATCGGCTAACTTCCTAAGATTGACCTCGAAAACTTATTAATTTGAAATCGCTTATATATAAAAACAATAGAAAATCTAGTGAAGAAACAGATAATGTTTTATATGCACTGGTAAAAAAATGTATGGCAAAAAAAGAGGCGTAAATGATGAATTTGATATATAACACGAACCTATGCGTATGTTGTAGATTGTAAGGGTAACCGCGCACAGTGAGCAGAAAATATAGATCTATTGTGACCTCCAACAATACCTAAAAATATCTCAGTAACTTAACCATCTGGCCTCCTCAGAAATGCCGGGATTACAGCGTTGTCCTTTACCAACGGGCGTGTAACCTATAGGTGATCAATTTGTCCCTATACCTAACCTAGGTCCTTTGTCGTTTAGCTTTATTAAAAAGCACGCTAACCTCGCCCCTGAGGTTCTCTAACCTTCCCAGCCTGCTCAGAGGACAGTTGGACTCAAATGACTCGACCATGGCTCTCCCAACCTCTTGCACAGCTCTTTCTACTACCAGGAGATGTCTTGTCATCCCCAAGACCGAAGTCCATGCAAGCCCGGCGCTCAGGTCCTCTCTGCATATCTCCCAATTAGTTTTTCTAGGGTTTCTGCAGGATGACCTTTACTCCATTAGACCCCCTCCCCGAACTAAATCGAATGATTCCATGGTCCGACATAGAAACGTCTTCCGATACCCTCCAGTCTTGTACGGAATATCCTACACTCGGGTTGCCGAATGTTTGATCGAATACCTCCTCTCTAATTCTAGTAATAAAAATTGGGAATTCCCTACATTGAATACCTTAAGATTTTTTTTAATTATATATTCTAGCAACGACTCACCTCTATTGTTGGTATCTCTGCTGCCCCATGCCTCGTGATGTGTGTTTGAGTCACATCCGATGATTAGTGGGCAGTACTTTTTGTTGCAGTGATCCTCCAGCTTTTGCATTTCCGATTGTAGGGCAAATGCCCGTCCAGGCCTTAACAGGTGTGAGATCCCTTATCATGTACTTTGAAAGTAAAATATAGTTAATATTTTTTCTGATTTTCGTCCAGGCCTTAACAGGTGTGAGATCCCTTATCATGTACTTTGAAAGTAAAATATAGTTAATATTTTTTCTGATTAGAATGCAGGCTTTGGGTAGCTTCCGCCCATAATCCCATGCTACCTGAACATCTGTAATTGATAATCCTTTGATTTGTCCTCTATATACCCATATGCGTATGTTTGTTGCCTTTATATGTTTTCAATTTTGATGATTGACCCTGATAAGATGAAACGGAATATTATAATAATTTATTGTGACATAAAGTAAATATGTTTTTTAGAAATCTTAATTTTTAATAGAAAGCATATTTTTATAAAAATTATTGGATTAATCATGCAAAAATTCAATTAGTCAAAAATTATCAATTGCAAGTTATTCATAAAATTTTATTATACTTTCAAAATGCCCCCTAAAGTGCTATTAAGCGAAAGATTTACTCATTATTCTTTTTTTGTATCGAATTTTTTGCAGCCTTATTCAAACAATATAGCAAATATTTTGGTATTTCAAAAATGTGTTAATTTATTTCTAAAATGGAAAATTCATAATGTTTCTAATATATCAATAATAATAAATTTTCACCATTAAAAATGTTCAATTTAACTGCAGTTAAAATGATGTATTTAAATTGATTTTTTTATTATTAATAATTTCCTTAAAAAATACTTTCATGTTCGATTTTGTACAATACGGTTTTGTGGTACTATAATACCAATATGGATTTAAACTATAAACTTTTCTATAATGTATTACCATAGTCATTAATTTATAGCTATAATATGCGTACATACATACACGTATATACAATGTATATTAAATAAGTATATTTATAAGGAATTTTGCTATAATAACATATTAAATTTATTGTGTATTAGAATAATGTTGACATTTTCATAATTAGCATAAATTAAAGAAAAATTAAAATAATTTTCCAAAAAAAAAAAAAAAAATATACAGACTTTTTTAATCAGATACAAAATTGTATTATTGACGTAGGTATCATATTCCAGTATAACAATACCAGAGCCGACTTCAATATAAACTGTCAGAATGTGATGTCAATGCTGTAATATATAGAACTACACTTCTATAAAACTAAAGATCAATTTTAGGAATAAAGAGCAGTTCAAATCACTGCAATCTCAAAAAATATAGACTGCTATTAAAATATTTTAAAAAAACGGACAGCTACGAAATTTTGGCGTCGCATGACCGAATCCCATAATTCCGAAATTTTAATCGTACTAACTTACAAATGTAAATCATGCTCAAAACCAAGAGCAGAGAGCCACACAGGAATGTTCGTAATTATAGGATTTTCCTTTCTTATGACAGAAATTGCATTAGTTATCCATGGTACATTGTAAATTATGGCCCCTTCACGAATCAACTACTCTAATGCTAATCAGCAATATCTAATTGACTGACACAAAGAAATAAGAAGCAGAGGCACTCTGCTTAACTACCAAGCGGATTTATAGTTCGTTTTGAATATTTTCATTAAAGCCTGCCCTGTATAAATGTCTTGTGGACAGAATATTATAAATATTCAATCATTATCACCACATTAAAGATATGTATATGTAAATATGCATGTATACAGTAGGTAACAGTAGGTATGTATATGTAAATTTGAATAGCATGTAACAAATACGGTTAGAAATATACTTTTTTTTCATTATAAAATCAATAAAAAACACTGATTTAACACTGATACCAAAATATTTATCCGCGTTAATTTTATTGATTTCATCAGAACATAAGAAAACAAAAATATAAAACAAAAAGACAAAAAATTTTAGGAACGGAAAATTTCAACACTAAAATTAAAATTTGTATAATGTAAAGTTTTTTTTTTCCGCCAAACTTATCCAAAATTTTCTTTAAAAATTTCTTGGTTATTAGTTTAAATTTATTTTCCCCTTATACTTCTTTTCAGCTAGTTTGTCATCTAGTTTATTATAACATGTTGTTTACACACACATGTGTTTGCTGCAAGAACAATACTTAAATATGGGAAATACTAGCATTTGAACTATTATTAATTAAAATTTTACTTCTAGTTTTCAAAACGAAATTCGATTCTACATCAAATTATTTAATTTTGGAATGTGAAATGTACTGGTTTCGAGTTGCATTATATATGCAAAATAAATGTTCAAATGGAATATAAGGAAAATTAGAGTAAGTACAGATACGAGTACATAGTTTGAAACAAATAGTTAATATAGTTTAAACTTTAATTAAAATTTATACGAAAAATTATTATATAGAAAATCATTAATTAAAATTAAATTTTAGGTCTCGGACTAAAATTATTGTAAAAGTATAAAAATACTGAAATGTATCAAAAACTATGGAATTACACTCTAGATGTAAGCTTTGAAATAAATTTAAATTAAATAAATGAAAGTGTTTCAGTATTAAGTTAATTGATGAGTTCCTTAAGCCTAATATTTTATTGTTGAAAAACTTAAAAAAAAGTACAAAAATTCAAATAAAATATGAAACTTACAATTTACCCCGTACGTAACGCCTATCTCTTAAGACGGTTAACTAAATCATCAATAACCACTCAGAAATGGTTTCAAATGTTACCATTTCTCTACCAATTTCAGTTTGTTTACCCTCTTTTTTTTTACGGATATTTCGATTCTATTCGTTATTCATTTTCAATTTTATTTTTATTAGTTAACAAATCAATGCATCGATTTAAAAAATTTTGTTACTCATTAGACTCGTAAAATATGTATCTTAGTGTGTAAAAAAAATCATCTTGTCATTTTGAACACAGAAAAACAAAAAAAAAAACCATTCAGTGTGTGTTTGTTTGTCTGTTTGTGCAGAAGAGTTAAATTTTTACGATATTTTTATGACTTTCGATATTACGGTCTTTAAAAGAACATTTACATAAATTAAAAAACTTTTAAAAATAGTTTTTTAACTATTTTTTAATAATTTTTATTTTCTACTCCCCATTAATAGTTGCGTGTTGCCGTCCCTTTCTCCTCGCTAAAACAAATTTTTAGAATATTTAGTTTTGATATTTTGCTTTTTGATGAAGCTCATTTATAGTACTATAGGCAATATTTAAGTTTTTAAAATATTAAAAAATTTCTCTACGTAATAAAAAATACAAAAAAAAAAAAATTCCTACTTAAAAAATCATCTTTTTGATTTTGAATCTTTTTTTCATTAAAATCGTAAAATCGTCAAAGTTCCAAAAAAATCATGTTGTTGATTTTTGTTAATTTGTAAATTAATGAACATGATTTTCTTGTCACCTTTCCCAAATATATAAAATTTAATGTACATTATTAGGTAAATAATTTTTTTAATATAAATATTCATGATATGTTTTTGTAGATTTAGGGTTACCATAATATAAAATAAAAATCTAAGAATCTCGAATAACATGTCACAGAAATCACTGTATAAGCAGGAACTTCACGTATGTGTTTACATTATACACATTGAATGATTATCATTAATACACATTGAATGAGCCAACGTTGCTGACCCGCAATTAAGTAATAAATTAATAGGTAACACAACTTGTTGCTAATATGAATTTCCCGTGTGATCGTTTTGGCTTTATATCCAAATTAGTTCTTAATTGTACTAGCATACGTTCCTCACAATTATTTTATGTATGTTACAATGGGTGAAATATATGAAAGTATAGAGGTAAGTGAAACTTGCGTGGTTAACTAAATCTTTTACCAACTTAAAATCTTCGGCAACTCTTTTAATTTAAAAAAATTAATTGTGAATTGATTTGTTGTTTCATGTTTTCATCAATTATAACGCCCAAATATCTACGTGTGGATAACATTTCCAAATCAGAGACATCAAACTTAAATCTTGAAATATCATTTACACTACACTTTAACAGAATATATTTTGTTTTAATTATATTAAGAGTGAGCTTATGATGAATAATTGATTTTTGTATCAAAATTAAATCGCAATTAATACTATCTTCTATTTCTCGGCATGTATTTGCAACATAGACTATAGCTAGATTATCTGCATGTAGCTCGCCATTTAGATCTAAATCCAGCAAACTACTTATATACAAGGAAAACAATGTGGACCAACGCAAACTTCTTGTACTCGTATCACATCAAATTAATTTTTCTGGCAATATTTCTTCAGCTCGTCACATTCTGCCTTATGGTTTTTTTGTTACTGAAATAGTTTCGGAACCATTCGTATTCATTGTATAATAATGCTTATTGTTGCCCGTGAGATTTTAACACTTTCCTAGAATGTACTTTGCAGCATGAATTCCAGTTTTTTTTTTCGCTAATGCAAGACACTGTAATTTATAAATGAAAGTGACTGACGTATTTAACATGGTTGTTAGATTGGTGTTTTTCTGGGAAAGTACTTTTGTCATGTCTAATATATGCAATACAGAACATTTAGGAGACGGGATTGAAAATAACGAAAATTTTCCTAGTTTATCCGGAAACCCCAATATAATTAAAAATATTTAAAAACCCCAAATAAGCGTTGTGTCGTGTTTGAAAATTTTTATTACTTTAGTCCTACTTATATCACTAAAGTAATTATGCATAATAGTTTGTTATAAATTTATTTGTATACTAACTAATGAACGTAAAATTTCGTCTGCTTGTTTTTTTTTATATTTTAAAAATAGCTAAGCTACTAATGAAAATCTTATTTGATTTTAAAATTAAAATGGTGTAAACGAAAACATATAATGTGTATTTATGTAAGTATGTACTCATTTTATGTTTTATCAATCAATATTTTTGGAAATAAAATATATGGTTAAAAAATTCATAAATTATTTTTGTTAAAAATATTAGATAAAGGAATTTTTAGTTCTTTTAAATTAAATAAGATTTAGATTTTAAAAGAAACGAGCTTTGAAAATTTCTCTATATTAATTTAATAATTTAAAGTCCATCAAAAATATAATCTATCTATATCTTATTTTACACAAAAGATTTAAATAAATTGACGCTCTTTATTATCTATAGAATTACTTAATAACACATTGAATAAAAAAACGAAGCATTTAAATTATATGGGCATAATATTTTAAGTAAGTTAAAAAATTGAATTAGTGCCATCAAATAAGAACAGAGATACCTAAATGGAAACTCTAACAATAATTTTATGCACAACTTTTTAATTAAATTGAATAATGTCAGCAAGTTTTAGCAACGGCTTTGAAATATTTTAGAAACTACATAATTGAATAAATTTTAGATTTAAAATTTTATCTGAAAGTAGTCATTACTTTATTACTGTAGTTGTAATTTTGTAAATCCTAGGACTTATAATTCGTACATTTATCGTGTAAATTCACCACAACGATTAACATCAGCATAAGAATATAGATCACACTCAATCGTCTTATAGAAAATAAATGAATTAACAGTTCTTCGGATGAAACTTATAAAATATCCAAATATGTTCCTTTCTTGAAAAATTCTTTTAAATATTTCAGGAATTGGCTATTATAATCTTTGCGGTCAGTCATTTGAACTGTTAATTATTAGAGACAACTATCTTAATTAAACTTTGTCTCAGATAATTTTGAAGAGTAAATTTTACAGATGATCAGATTGCAGATTTCGTCCTCTTTTTAAGCAGTCCCCCTAAAAGTAATTTTAAATTTTAATATTTATTTGGAGTGCAATAGGTACAATTTTTCTTTTCACCCTTGTTAATTCCCAGTGGGAATATAGGGCTACAACAAATCCTCCGAATCGAATTCTGTTTTGGGCTAGCCCCTTTACTTCTAACTGTATTTTCCATTTAATTCAACCTTATTAAGTCGCCATATGTTACAAGGCAACTTCCTTTCTCCCTGTGGGTTCTAATTTAATACCACTCTGGCTAACGTATTATTCAAATTCCGTAACGTGTGTACCAGCCACCTCAATTTTTTTCTTTTATAGCCACGTTTATAGATTTCTGATCAGTAGCCGCCCATAGTTCATTGTTCGTTATTGTCCTGTGCCTTATTGGTATACGCTGTGTCCGCAAACCATCTTTCACAGCTATACAAAAGTACCGATTTTTACAAAGGGATTGAATGTTCTGATCTTGGTGCTGTTTACGGCCATGGTAAGCCAAAGGCTATTCTTGTTTCGACCATTCTTTGATCCCTACATGGATAGTAGTATGCAATAATACAATAGTAGTGTGCAATTCAAAATTTTAAATTTTAGCACAATTATTACAATCTATTTAATTTTTTATATAGAACTAACTACACTTTTGTATGTGTTTTATTTAAACATGTAACTTAATAATTATAAAAATATAAACACATATATGTATATATACATGTATTTAAATAATTTATTATATTAAATCGTTTTAGTTGAAACTTTCGCTCAGAAACACAAAAATGTAGAATTATTTTCAAAAAAAAAAAACAAATTAATGTTTTAGTAAAATTTCACCCATATAATCCAAATTTTAATAATAATTATTTAAAAATAAAAATTCTAAAATGTCATTATATTTTTTAAAATTAAAAATTCATATTAGTTCTATTTTAAATTTAAAATATAAATATAAGTACCTATAATTTGTTTTCTGATTCCTAGTATTCCACATTGTAGAGTATGATAAATCCCCTTCATCATTTTTGAAATGCATTCCGTATGTATCAATATAATATACAAATAGTCTTATACATATATAGTAAAACTGGCAGGTTGTTATTCAGAAAGCATTGAATTTGTGCAATCTGGCATATTTGACATTAATTTCTCGCTTTGTTGAGCGTATCCAATTATATATGTACACATATGTATTTCTATGCATATAATATAGGTATATACATAAGCCTCACTCGTGCATTATTTAATATATATACAATTTTCCTACATTTGCAATTGCATTGGAACTATTCACTTTAATTTTTTTTTTACAAAATAGGTGGCATTATTGGTTTGTTGATTAGGGTGATTTAAATCTGAAAATAATTAAAAAAAAAGGTTATAGGTCAAAAATTTAATTTCTACATTATTTAAAAAAAGTAAAATGAAAAATTTAAAACAATAGAAATTTATTAAAATTTTGTAGACAGATTGAAGGTGCAAAAATATTTGAATTAACCTAAAATTAAAAATTTTTACAAATAAGTAATTAGTTCGGAAAAAATTATTAAAGACATACATGAAATTATAAGCATTATTAGGTGATGTCGATTATATTCAAATAAATTTCAATATTCTTCGAAAATGAATTATCAAATATGTACGGTTGTATAAAAATTTATATTTTAATAATATTTAATAAGCGGACAATGACGTCCTAACACAAAGAATAAACACAATTTTGCTAAGATCTAAAATCTTAGCTTTCGTGTATGCGAAAAACTAAGACACTTCAACGTAAATATTATGTAGATGACTACAACCAGAAGTGGTACGAGAAAATTATTGAGCAATGAGAAAAATTAGATGAAAAATTTCACTGTTCTCTTAACCAGATGTTGTACACTGGACGAACTTTTAAAGCAGTTTAACCGAGGGCACTTGCACTCGAATTTATTAAGGTAAAAATTCATTGCAAAATTTTAAATTTTTCAAAAACAAAATTTTTAATGAATTTTAAAATATACTTTGGAATCTGTTTTATATAATTACATAATATTAAAGCAATACTTGTGTACATAATAACACTAAAACGAAAAAAAAAATATTAAAAATGATGAGCAGCATAATCTTAACATTTTAGTAAGTATATTTTTTTTATAATCCTTCTTATAATCCTTTATCGCATTTTATATACATTTATACATGCATTCGTACCATATTACTGCGCAAAAATTTTTAAATTTAGCGTGGAAAAAAAAAAACAAAAATTTAAATATAAAATTTACACAATATCTTTCATACTGGATACTTTAAGTAATAAGAGAGAAAGAGATAGTATGTAAAGAGAAAAATTATGATTTTTTTAATGAAAATATATATATATATATATTGTTGGTACTTTATATATTTTTATATGCATACTTTTTTTTTACCCTTCATTTCATAATTTCGAGTCCAATAATGCATTAAAAAATTCTTTACGCTATGAGCAAAAAAATAAAAAAAAATATTCTCCAGAATAATATGAAAACATTTTAAGATAATGAGTTCTGGTGTTGTGACCTCGTTAAAAATTCATATAAATTATGATGTAAATGGTATTATGATTAAGATTTTTCATTGATTATATTGCATAATTGGGATTGATGATGTAAGACTATAGACCAGTAAAAAACAAATTGTGTCATTGCAGTACTATAGATTTGCACTATCAAAACATGCTTCTGTTTACTGATTTTGGAAATCATTGTGATTAAATCATATTGTCACTCTTCTAGTTCTTATAGGAACTTTATTAAACACTCGGTACAACGTTGTTAAAATTTAAAGTGACCCAAAAGTTAAAATTTTCCACTGACAACTCAATTGAATATTTTCATCCATTTTTAGGTCTGGTAAATATGGCGGTCATGATAAAAGTTCTATATCCTGACTTTGAATGTATAATTTTACGATCTTAACAAAACTGTATAGGAACACCTTTTTGGAATATCCAAGATATACCTGGAATATTTCTTTAGTTTTAGGAATATGCTTTAATCAATAGATATTAATTTTTATTAATTTCAATAGAAATTTTAATTTTTCCCGTTCTCCTTAGATTATTCATTGAAATATTTAATTTCATTAAATCCGGATGATTTTCTGCTTACATTTTTATTATAAAATTTCTAAAACAGGTTGAAATTAATTTCAGATATTCTCAAAACCACCTCACTTTTCACCACTTCCCAAATACAATTGGTTTATACTTCTATTAAACTTCTGATAATTGGTTAAACTTCCCTTTTTACTTCAATAATTCTGGTATTGTATCAAGAAGTTAAAGCTCTTGTTTCCTGGATAAAAATTTTTACAATATATGTATACGTCCGAAGTATCCTACAACCTAGAGTGTAACTTTGGCTGAAAATAATTTTTCTTCAATTATTGTTGGTTTTTTTCTTTGTCATTTTTGCTTTTTTTTTGTTTTTATTATTACTATTGGTATTAATATTTATTTTATGTACATATTTAAATAATATTCAAAAAAAAAAAATCTGATATAATATTTTTATATTTTAAATTCTTATTTCCTTAACGCTATTGAAGTTATTATTCATTTTTTTTTTTCTCATTTTCACCCGATGACCTCATACTTCCAGTATACGCATTCGAAATAATATGAATTAAAAAAAACCAAAAAAAGAAAAATATTCATATACATATACTGTTATACATACATACAAAATGGTAAAAAATAAAATTGTATAAAATTATAAAATATTAAAAAATAAAATGAAAACAGAAATCATAAGAAAAAAATCAATTTAAATTTATGAAATTTCCGAAAGGTTAAAAATATTTCCATTTCAATTTTTTCTCTTTCTCTTTCTTTTTATTTTTTTTTTTGTTATTTTCAATAATTTGTAATTTAATATTTTAATTTAATTTATTACAAATTTGTAACAATTGAAGAGCATATTGAAAAATGATTTAAAAAATAATTTTATGAAATTAAAATTAAATATTTTTATAATTTATTTTTTTTTTTCTGTTTGCTTTTTTATTTATTTATTTTTTGCCTATAAATGATATTTTTCTTTTCTTGTTTTACTGTAGGAAAACATAATTTACAAAATTGAAACCTCACAGAAAAAAACAACCCTCCAATTAATTTGGAAGCAAGAGATTTTTTTATATATTTTTGAATCGGTTTTCGCACCACCCAATTTTTCAATAATATATATAGAATTCGTAATTTGCAAAGTTGTTAGATAAACCATTTTAAAGACGTTTAAAGTTTTGTATAAGCCACTCTTCAGGCGGCATCATTACACTAAAATTTTAGTTTGTTCTGACGAAAAACGGTAATTAAGATTTTCATCAATATCATACAGATACTCGTAACTCGTAATTTAACTATATTGATAGTAAGCCGATTTTAAAGACGTTTAAAGTTTTGTATAAGCCCCTCTTCAGGCGGCATCATTACACTAAAATTTTACTTTGTTCTGACGAAAAACGGTAATTAAGATTTTCATCAGTAAATAACTCATAATTTGACTATATTGTTAGTAAGGCGATTTTAAAGCCGCTTAAAGTTATATATAAGCCCCTCTTCAGGCGGCATTATAGCAATAAAATTTTTTAAGGCGAGATGTGTTATATTATGCATTCATGTAATTTATATTTAGAAGTAATATAATTTAAATTTTTACAGGAATATGAGACTATTGAGTTGGATATTTGGACCGATGGCCATTCGATTGAGTCCAGTGAGGATCAAAAAATTCCGAAATCAGAAAATTTCTACTCTCAAATAGTTTCCGTTTTTTTTAAAAGGCAGTTGAAAATTGCTAATTCAGTGATGTATGTTACTGGGAAAGGACATGAAGCGGTCATTCACGAATTATTTTGTATTACGGAAGTGTTCTTTTTAGTGTGCAACTTATGATAGCACGTATGTTTTTGTATAATTGTGAATAAAATATTTGACACTGATTTTAAACGTTTTTCACAGCTAAGTTATACATACATACGAGTATAAATATTTATTTGTATACATTATATCGATGAACATACATATTATGTGTAAATTCTATAGGGATAAATTGATATTTATAATTTAAAATTAATTAAAATTTTAATAAATGATTGGTGCATGAAAAATAAAATTCATTTTACATAAAATGTAATATGGCGTCACTCTCAATGTGGGTGGCGCGGTGTCTTAGCTATAAATATTTGCGTAATGTTCCTATCATTGAATAAGGATTATAATTATGATTTTTTTATATCACTAAATAAAAAGGTAGCTGTAGAATTATATTTTTTATTTAAAATTTAAAAAATTAAACAAAATTTCAACTATAACTTTAAATTACAGACGCTTGGAACAGAAAACAATTAATGTTAAAACTTACTTTCCCAATCAGAGAGAAGGTTTATCTTGTTTACTCTAAAATCTAAATTAATGAGTGCTAAAATTTAAATGAAAATTAATCAATTAACAAGTCAACGATCATCAAAGCCAATTATTTGTTTATTGGGGTTACCGTAAAAGTTTCGCTACATTTTTATAGTTTAGTTAGTCTTATATGAATAAGTTTAGTTAGTCTGATATACCATATATACCTAAGCATACATTCTTAATATAAAAAATATTTAAAAAATTTCCTTATCAGTTAAAAAGAGAAAACTAAAATCTACAAAAAAAAAAAACTCAAAAAACTAACAAAAATATGCGATTGAATCTCTAAAACAAAATAAAATATTTTCATCTTGTTCATAATATTGTAAGAATGTTACCGCCAACAAGAAATTATCTTACATAGCAATTAATTTTCAAAGTGATTAAGTGGTCAACTCTAGGTAAATTTAATTCTTGAGAAGGAAGATGTAAGTTGCGTATACGAGTACGTATGTAAGAATATCTTTACATAAGTAATAGTGTTTGTGAGTATTTATAGAGTAGAAATATTAGTTGAAATTTTCTTTCATTGATAAAAAAATAATATATACGAATCGTGTAAAAAACATAGCGACCTTCTCATAATACAACGCTACATACAAATTGTAAATAAATCTTTGGAAAAATTAAGAGTTTTAAAGGTTTAAAATTTGTCCGTTGTTTTTCTGTTTCTTTTTTTAGTTTTTGTTTTAAAAATTCTTTTACTTAAATTACTAGTAATTTTTTAAAAAGGAAGAAGTCAGATAATAATACTCGTAAAATATGCTAATATTCATTACGTTATACTAGAGAAACATCTTCACTATAATATTATTGGCGGTCATGGTGATCGGTTCTAAAACCAAAGAAAATATGCTTAAAACAATTTAATAGAAATTTAATTTTTGATATTCCAGAAAACATTTGCAGTAAAGCAACGTT